GAGAGAGAGAGAGAGAGAGAGAGAGAGAGAGAGAAAGGAGAAAGAAGGAGGAGGAGGAGGAGGAGAAGGAGGAGGAGGAGGAGGAGGAGGAGGAGGAGGAGGAGGAGGAGGAAAGGCTGGCCATGAGCAGGTAGAGAGGGGGGAGGGGAATAAGGAGAGAGGGGACAGAGGGGGTAAGAGGGTAAGAGAAAAGGAGCAAGAGAAGAGAGGGAGGAGGGGGCAAGCAGCCCCTTTTATAGTAAGTCAGGCACACCTGGCTGTTGCCAGGTAACTGTGGGGCAGTACCTAGACGAAATGCCAACAGGGACAAATAAACAGGTACTGGCAGGACTCCATCTAGTCTGTCTTCTGAGTTCTGACACTCCACATTTATGCTTAAATAGAACAATAATAATCCATGACCAAGAAGTCTTTGTTGAAGTGTGGTTTGGCCCGATTTTGACCCATCTTTGTCTCAGCTCCAGTCTCTTTTGCAAGGTGGCCGGAGAAGCTGTCAGAATTGTGAGAACTCTTTCTGAGGGAGAGAAGGCTCTCTTCTTGCTGGTCTGGGACTTCAGCCTTTTTGTCTCCAGGCAAGAGATTGCTGGAAGCTCCATTTCCCTGGAGACCATTGCTTCATTCAATAGCTTGAGGGATAAGGGGAAGGAAACATGGGGCTCTTTAGAATGTCTTCAGTTCTGCCAAGATGTTACACCACAACCAAGACTGTGGCCAGAACAGCTTGCAAAAACACTCCTCATCCAACCTGAGGCATTTGTCATGTCAATGAACAAAATTAGAGTTCCAGTTAAAGATCCTGGATATCACCATTTAAGATTTTAAAACCAGGCAACATGTAATTCTACAAAACTGAGTATTTCTAATGAACTTGGTAGCAGAGGCTGATTTTTATAGACAGGGAGAAGCCAGAGCAAGAGCAGATTGGTCCCTCCCTGTGCATGGAATGTCGGGAGAGAATAACAGAAAAATAGCCAGATGGAATGGCATATGCTTGTAACTTCAACACGTGGGATGGTGAGGCAGGAGGATTGGGAGTTAAAGACCATCACTGGCTACTTCCTTTGGTCCTTTCTAAACAGAAAAGAAAAAGAACTGATAGCATGAGTCCCTACACCTTTCCTGCTTATGAATTAGGGTATAGGTAAACAAGTTGAAACTGGCCATTTGGGAAAAATTTAGTTGTTTCTCCTGGTTCCTGGGAAGGTCTGATAAAAAGCTTAAATCATTAGTATAGGTGATTGTTTTCTGATGTTTAATCCTGTGTGTTGAGGTCTTGTGCAGCAGCTAAATCTACCACAATGCTCCCTGTAACCTCTGGTTAGCAGTCACTTCCTACTTTCTAACTTAGTAGAAGTAACCATATCCTTGATTGGCAGAGTCAGAGCCTTTTTTGACAGCTCCCGACAGCTCTGCTGCAGGCAATGCAAACACATTTGCCCTTTCTTTACCTGGCAAAATTCAAATTAGTAAGTGCATGTTTATATTGTTTCCTTTCCTGCAGAAGGTGTCAAAAGCAGCCAGTATCATTAAAGACAAAGACAGGAAGAGCTACTGGTCAGATTTCCTATATATATTTGGCTTGAAAGTGCATCACCAAAGTGGAACCAACATACCACCTTACCAACTTTAATTTCCCATCCCATCTACCATTTGGCTCCAGACAACAAAAGGGAAGTTAACATCACAGCTGGCGGGGGCTAGGAGAAGGCTCCTCTCCACAGGAAGGGTGTCTAGAGCAGCTATGTCCTGTTTGTGAGGCACCGGGTCATCAGACTTCCCAGGACTTCCTTCTCTATTGGCTTACTTTCCTTCTAGACCTCTCTTCCCATCCATTGACATTGCCCTGTCTTCTGTTTCAGCTCTGGGGCATAATCAAACAAGGCTACAAATGCAAAGGTAAATACCTGGGATGTAATGGATATTTTGGGTAGGAATCAAATCTGTCTGATTAAACTATAAATAGTCTTGGCCTCCTTGAGAACTTTGTTCTCTTTGGACAATGGAAGCTGAAGAGTTAATGTGTCCAGCCCCCAAAATGGTCCCAAGCTTCCCAGAACCCTGAAATTCAGATGCAGCCGGCAAGGCTGGCAGCTCCTCTGCCACTCTGGAAACTGGGTCAGACACACGTTTCACGCTCATTTGTGCCAATTTGGGTCCTTTTTAGACTGTGGAGCCAACTGTCACAAACAGTGCAAAGACCTCTTGGTTCTGGCCTGCAGGAGACGTGCCAGGGCACCCTCGGTGAGCAGCAGTCCCGGGTCATTGCCTGGAAGCCCAGCCTTGGCCCCAGGTAATGCTCTCTGTGTGCTCCCCAACCCCACCTCCCAGCCCCTCAGTGTTTTTTAAAGCACCTCTCCATACCTGTCCTTTATCTGTGTCCTGTGTCTACTTAGGGTCTGAATCACACAAACAGCAAGGGTACCCCCTTCCGTAGATACCTCCAGATGCTAAATTTAATTCTGTTGCTTTTTGATCTCATTCACATGCAGTTCACCTGCTGCTAGTTTATTTCAAGCCCTAGTCCCTTCCTTTGGGACCTTGTATATCAGATTCCTGGCATCTGTACTAACAGTAATGGATTGCTCCTGGACAGATCAATGTCAAATAATAATCACTCTTTTTTTTCCCCTTTTAGTGCAGGATGAGGTATTTGAGTTTCCTGGGGTCACTGCTGAACACCGAGACCTGGACAGCAGAGCCATTACACTGGTTACAGGATCTTCCCGTAAGATCTCCGTGAGGCTGCAAAGAGCCACCACTAGTCAAGCCACCCAGACTGAACCTGTGTGGTCAGAGGCTGTCTGGGGAGACTCAGGGTCCCATACTTTCCCCAAAATGAAATCCAAGTTCCATGACAAAGCAGCAAAGGACAAAGGCTTTGCCAAGTGGGAAAATGAGAAGCCCGCGGTACAAGCTGGTGTGGATGTTGTAGATCAAGGCACTGCATTTGAACCTGACCAGGATGACGGGCAAGATGAAGCCAAGCAGGGTGGTGAGGTCAGTGCTGTGAATCTACGACTACCCTCAGAAGGAGGAGGCCAAGGGTGTTGACATGGGCGCATAGCTCTGGAAAATAGCCTCATGACTTCAAAAGCAAAATGATTAGAAATCAAGATATATTCCTTTTAGAGTTACTACTGGTTAGTTATATGAGCTGGGAAAGATGATGTCTCGCCCCTCCCACCTGTTTCACCATGCCTAAAAGCCATATAGAATTCTGAATATCACGAGGTCATGTCTGTCATGTCTGTACTGCAATGATACACAGGGACCTGCAAGTGTTGCATTTATTCACATAGCAGTGCAGTGCAGGGTTGCTTCATTGTCCAAGACAGAGCCAGGGCTCAAACCCAGGGAGGACTTGTAGAGAGAATTAGATTCTCATCTGTGCTAAACCAGACTCTTGATAGTCTCAAGGAAAAAAGAAGGGCAGTAATCCAAGATGTGAAGGCTGCAAGGGCCTCTAAAGTGGGCCCTGTCACCCAAGAATCATATTCAGGTCACACAACGTCAACTGGCATGCACATGGAATGTTAGAATATGCTGAAATTATAAAGTGATTCAAGATGGAGACAATTATTTTAAAGTCCATGGTGTATTAAGAAAATAGATTTGGGACAATCCTAAAATAAAGCAATTATTGAAAAGTTAAATTCACACTGTGTGAATATACTGTATATGTACATGTGCACATATTTCCTGAAAAATTTCTGAGTGCCCTTATATATGTTATAGCATGAGTTTCTGAGATGGAAACATTTTAACAAGGAACATTTGGGAGGTGACTAATGTTTTGTGCAGCACCCTACAGGAACACCTTGTTTATTGTATATGAACTCTGCATGAGAGTAAGATTTTCATAGGCTGAGTGGACAATCTTTTTATTACTTGTTTGTATGTATATGAGTCAATTCAGGTATGTGTGTATGAATATGTATGCCAGTCCACATGTATCTATCTGCATGCATGTGCTGAGGACAGAAGTGGGTGTTGGATGGCCTCCTCTATTCTCTCTCTCTCCCCCCTCCCTCCCTCCCTCCTCCCTCCCTCCTCCAATTTTGTTTTTTCTTTAATTCAGGGGGTTTCTCTCCAACTTTGGGTTGGGCTGACAGCTTTCCTCTGCTAGACTGGAAGCCAGTTAGCTTCAGCAATCTAATCCTCTTGGCTCTCGAACCACCATCTCAAGGTTGTAGTTCCAGGGATGCCCAGGATAGCTACCTTAGACATAGAGTTTGTTACGCCAGTGCTAAAATCCGTGATTGTGCAGCAAGCACTTTGAAACACTGACCCATCTCTCTGGACCCTGCTGTTTTTCTTGCTTTTGTTTTTAAGTTTGTTTGGTTGATTTTTTTGTTGTTGTTCTTGTTGTTGATGTTGTTTTGTTTTTTGGGGATGAAGTCACAGATGTTGCCCTGAGCTAGCCTCCAACTTCTGGGTTCAAGGGATCCTCCTGTGGCTCCCAAGTATCAGGGACTACAGGCTCAGGTCACAGCTGGCTAGCTCTCTGATCTTTTAATTCTCTCCTAAATATGGAAGCTCTGAGGCATTCATCTTTTGAGGTCTTCTCTTATATTCATTCGGAAAATGGCATTTTAGTAACACTCTGCTTTTGTTAATTGAGACCCAACTCTGCAGCAGGTTCTGGTTTGTATTGCAGGATGGCTGAGGACAAGCTGGGGAAACCAAAGACAGTCAAGTCGGCTTTGGGGAGGAGAGAGAAGAGGAACTCTGAAAGGCACTGTCCCTCTCAGAAGTGGTCTGGAAAAGAGATTTGGATATGCTCACAGCCTCCAGTCATCCTGGGATCCCCATAACTGGACTACAGGATAGAATTTACCCTGACTCTGAACTATTTATTTCCTGTACTCTGCTCCCTACTGAGGTGCCATAAGAACTAGTTACGTAGTCAGCAGCTTCTCACATCTCTCTATAGCCATTTGTACCCAGGGGAATGAAAGCTTGGTGTATGTGCACGTTACCCCTTCTCTAAAATCAAGACTTAGCTCTTTTGGACAATATTATTTTTATAAAGTGTGTTGGTGCGTGTAGGGGCATCTCATAAGACGTTAAGTTTGAGTCCCTTTTGTGTGCCTTTTTGATGGGACTAGGACCTGAAGCTTTACTAAAGGACAAAGACACTCTTTAGACCCTGGAAGGCAGTGAACCCTCTGCTGCTGATTAGCTGTAAGGAGTGTTTACAGTGCCCTACCACACAGTGGCTGTGCTGTGTAGTGTGTGTGTGTCACCTAGGTCTTACCAATTCTGCATCACTAAGGGGAATCATATTCCCAAAGCTCCTCTAATACTCATGCTAGATATGGTTAAAAAATGCATATACCTGACCACCTAATTGGATTCCCCACTCTTTCTGAAGATTCCCAAAATAGAATGCTAATTAAGAAATCAAATCAAGTTCCGAGGGATAAAATTTGGTAGAAAAATCCACTGAATTACTAGGTTAAAAGAAAAACAACCAGTTTGGAAAGCTGAAAATAAGACTAAGACTTTTATTTTAGATAATTTCTGGATGCAAAAAGTAACTTAATTTCTTCCTAATAAATTCTCATCCACAGTTAAAAAATATTCACTAAAAGAAAAACCACCATAAACCTCAACTATAGATTGATAGTCCATTTACACCTTTAAAATATTAATAATCTAAATGTCTTTGAATGTGTATCTTTTGAAATAGATTCATGATGCTCAGAAATAGAGACACTGCCAGGCTGATGTTTCAATACCTATAATCTCTGCACTTGGGACATGAGATAGGAGGACTCTCAAGTCTGAGGTTAATCTGGGCAACTTAGCAAGAATCTATCTAAAAAAACTGTAGGGGCTAGAGAGATGGCTCAGCAGTTAAGAGCACTGACTGCTCTTTCAAAGGTCCTGAGTTCAATTCCCAGCAACCACATGGTGGCTCACAACCAACTATAAAGGGATCTGATACCCTCTTCTAGTGTGTCTGAAGACAGCGACAGTATACTCATATACATAAATAAATCTTTAAAAAGCAATAATAAAAATAAAAGAAAAATTAAGGTGATTGAGTCTGTCAGTTAGGAAATATTCCACAGCGGTACCAGGTCCACGGTAACGTGTGTATCCTGTGTAAAACGGACTATGGTTTTATTTGTGGAAGTCACTTCCATATAGCTCAACTGATAATTCTGTGCTCGTCCTTAGAAATGGAGAGCATGAGGACATAACTGCTAAGTCGTTCCAGTGTCTCAACACAACCTTGGTAGAGGTGACATAATGTTCCCCGAATGTTCTGGAACGGGGCATGATTCAGATTAGGGATACTGCAATACAAACCATCCCGTGAAGCCTCTAAGTAAAGGAGCTGTGATTAATCTAGATGAAAACTCACTGAAATGTCGAGCGCCCCAGGCAGTGCTGTTGGATCCATGTATATAGACTGTCTGTTACTATCCGTACATACAGCAGAGTACATGTTAATGAATTCAAAACAGAAAACTGGCAAGTCAAATGCAGGCAAACTCTCTAAAAACTCCCGGAAAGAAACCTGTTAAGGAATGTTGGAGTTTTTGTATTTCTTTTCAAAGGAGTTGCCATTTGGTTTAGATATTTATGGGTTTTCATATATAGAAGGAATTTTATATCTTTGGTCTTCCTCTGATAAGGAAACAAAATGTACCTTCAATGAAAAATAAACACAAACAAAAAGAAATACAGTGTGTATTATATGTATGTAGACAGCATGTGTATGCCTGTGTATCACGTGTGTGTAAGCAAAACTGTTACTAGTCCGCTGAAGAGAAACTCAGTCTACAACGTAGATGCTTTACAATTCTGATTATATATGTTATTTTATTATATATTATATATATATTATATTATATATGTTCTACTAACAACCAATGGTGACTTTAATGACGACTTCATTAATTTTCCAGAGTTAGTAACATAGACAAGCCCATGACAAATCAGAATTTGTTTTTGCTTCCTTCCAACCTCTGTTTTGTAGTACACTGTCACCTTGATTTTCTTTTCTTTCTTTTTTTAAAGAAAAGTCTTATTTTATGTGTACGAATGTTTTGCCTGCATGTACATAAGTATGCTACAAGCTTGCAGTGTCCTGGAGGCCAGATGAGGGCGTTGGATCTCCTGGAACTAGAATTACTGACAGTTGTGAGCTGCCATGTAGGTGCTGGAAATTGAACTTAGTTCTTCTGGATGAGCAGCCAGTGCTCTTAACATCCTGCATCTTCTCTCAAGCTTCAGTCTTCTTGGGAGAGGGATCATTCATTCTATGTGTAAGTAGAGAGCCAGGGCCTCACTCTGTAGTGAAGGATGGTTGATAACTTTCTAGGTAACCCAGGCTGGCTCCACATTTGAGAATACTGCACCATACCCTGACACTATCACCTTTAAAGGGAAGGGCAAAGCCAAAGACTTCATGGGGCCTTAGGTAGGGCAGGGTGCATTAGCTACTTCCTATGATTCTTCATTGATGTGCTTAAAGCAGAGCAGCTGCAATTGGCATTTGGAGCCTTTTGTCGAAGCTCTGCCTCTTCAACAATGTCCCAGATTTCCACAGTAACAGGCTTTGAATGGCTAAGAGCTTTGCTGTTGGAAAACAATAAAAGCAGACTCCTGTGGGTAGATGCATCCAACTGTTAACTGGTGACAGAGAATCACAGTAGCCTGTCAAAAGTAGTGACAGCAAGATTCTGGATGGACCAAGATAAATCTCACCAGGCTGTATTTCAAAAGCATACCTTTGGAATACAACTTACACTGGATTTATGCCCCATCTCCCCTTTCTGTAGTCATGGGATACAGGTCATACCAGGTACACCTAGAGGAGCCTCCGTTTCTTCATGTTTAAAAAACAAAACAAAACATTTCATTGACTGGCAGTGATATCATACGCCTTAAATCCCAACACTCAGGAGGCAGAGGCAGGCAGATCTCTGTGGTTGAGTCACCCTGGTCTACAGAGCGACTTCTAGGCTAGCAGGGACTACAGAGAAACCTTGTCTTGAAAACCAAAAAACCAAAACCAAAACCCCAAAACAACAGAAAAGACATTTTATTACTTTCAACTACTTCAGAAAACCATTGTTTAATTAAAATCTGTCAGATGTTACTTTAAAAAAAATATAAATGAAATTGATGCCTAAAAGAGCTTTTTATTCCGATACTGTCATATGAAGATGAGCTCTATTTTTTGTCTTTTTTTTTTTTTGGTTTTGGTTTTTCGAGACAGGGTTTCTCTGTATAGTCCTGGCTGTCCTGGAGCTCACTCTGTAGACCAGGCTGGCCTCGAACTCAGAAATCTGCCTGCCTCTGCCTCCCAAGTGCTGGGATTAAAGGCGTGCACCACCATCGCCCGGCTCTTTTTTTTTTTTTTCTTTAACATTTGTCTATTCTTCCCATTTAAAATTAGGAGGTCAAGACAAAGAACTGGATGGGTAAAATGTAAATTAGAGAAAAAGCTACATATTGCACACATGTAAATAGTCCAAAGCATAAATGTTTAAAAGGCTAAGAGAATTTAACAGTGAGGTAGAAACACTGACAACTGGGTTGGGTTTTAGAATTACAGGAAGGTAAGCACAGGAGAGAGTACTTCATTCAAGACTGCTTCATTTCTGACTGCACTAGACCAAGCTGGGTAAAACTAGCGAGTACTTGGAGACCTCCGATGAAAACAGTTCCTGCATCTTGTCCTCTATTGTCTTAGTGGCAGCCACACTGGAATTGTGTCCACTGAGAATGTGTCAGAGTTCCTCTGGAGGAACCCAGGGATAACATCACTTGGACATTTTGATGAGCAACTGGCCTGAACACTTTAAAACATAATAAAATCAGTGGGGAAAAAAAGGAAGGGGGTTGTAGTTCTGACCAAATACTATACCCAAATGCAATGTAAGGGACCATGGTCATATTCTGGGTCAAACATTAAATAAATCAGGTTTTCTATGGTAACTAGAAAATTTCAGATGTGAACCATATGTTATACCGTGAAAGGGTGAGTGAATTCTAATCTACTTCAGTATGATAATGACTTTATGGTTATGTGGGAGACTATTTTTAGGAGACCCCTGTAGACTATTAGACTACAGGGGAATTAGTATCACCATTGGCAAGTTATTATTTTCCCATACTTAAGACTACTATGTAGCTGGCTATACCTGGCTGCAACGTTTTTAGATGATCTTTTAAATTTTTTTTTCAATTGTACAATATGATAAAGCAATATGGCAAGATTTTAAAATGTTGACTACAGATAAAGCATTTAAAAACTTTTCTGTAAATTTCTAAACGGTTTCAGGGAAGAGACACATTTATATTTACTGTAAATCTGTTTTAAAGTTTCAATGAGCCCAAATCAAAAAATGGAGAGATCTTCAATTGTAAGCCCAGAAGGGGAGATAACCCCAGTCAGGTATTGATCAGAGGGTCCTGCAGGAGGGTGTGTGGGCAGAAGTTTCTATGGTAGACATGGATTCAGTGGCTGTGTCATTTAACAAACCAAAAAACAGAACAGACAATATTAATCCCTCTCCCTTGTACTTTGGATTAAAAACTCAAAATTAAAACAACACAAGAGCCCAGGGCATACTAGAAATCATGCTGTTGGCTGGGGAACACACCATCTGGCATCTCACGAGGAAACAAAAGGCTACAGAGCACAGAAAAAAATGTTCTTCAAATTTCTCCATCAAGTTAAGTAGCTTTAACAGATTCCTGATTCACACACATCACATCTCTATCAAACGTTTATTGCTGCTTCAAAGTGCTAAGTTTTAGGGTATTTATTCTACACTGTAGACAATGAATACACTGTCCCACAAGGCAAATACACCACAACCTTTGAAATTATCCTGTTCACCAGAAAAGCATATATCTCAGGCAGATATTTATGACAGCAATACCCTAATCCACAGTAAATAGAAGTCGAACACAGGAATCTGTAACACAGAAGGTTTATTTTCACTTTAGCTTGTTATATCGCCAACCAATAAGTACACAATAATAAGGCACTAGACCCATACCGATGCAGTAGCTATTAGCGCTGGGGATTGAACTCACAGTCATGAGCATGAGAAGCATGCCAATGAACCGTATTTCAGCTTCGGATTCCAGAAAATTATAAACAGAAACAAAAGTCCTCAAGATTCTAGAAATACTTAAGGGACTTACAACATGAATCAATAAGTCTTTCACTGTGCCATTGATTTCCTTCCTTGTTTTTGAAATGCTTACTACAAAGCTGCTGAAGTTCAGCAACTTTATTGAGAAAAAACTCTAGGCCCCCAAAACATTCTAGATCAAATGGTGCAGAATGTTCCTGACCAACAACACAAGTGCAGGTCATATTTCCAACTAGAGACAAGGAAGACTGTCACAGGGAGGGCAGGCTTGGCTGCCTGGAGAGACCCTTGCCATTCAGATATGATCTGAACAGCTGCAAACTGTAAATGGCTAAGATTTGCTGAGTTATAAGGATGTACTTTAAGTTACAATGTATTTACGTGTCAGGCTAGGGTACAGTGTACTGAAGGAGGCTGCTCTGAGATGCATACCACCCACTCATATACAGTGGGTAGGTTTAGGCCAAGCTTAGTATTCTGGGTTTTTTAAATTTTTTTATTTTTCGAGACAGGGTTTCTCTGTGTTGCCCTGGCTGTCCTGGAACTCAGAAATCCGCCTGCCTCTGCCTCCCAAGTGCTGGAATTAAAGGTGTGTGCCACCACTGCCCGGCTGAGTATAACTATATTTCCCATTAAACCTAGACCTGCATGTCACTGTTTAAGATTCTTAGTCTTCTTCCTACCCCAACTCTCTTCTACCTGTCCCATAAACCATGATTCCTCAAGATTATATATCTGATCCACTATCTTTCCCCTCTAACAGGATTTAGTAGTGACTCATAATTCTGATTAGGTGCCC